TTTTATTGTTAAACTTTACCCTTACTTTTATTGTTAAACTTTACCTTACATTATTAGATATTGAACCAACTTATTTAACGAAGTCAAAATGAAATATTCGATGCCTTGTGAATTATTATAATCAGTATTTTTGTCTTTGTTTTTTTTTCTCTTTTTATAAAATGATTTCTTATATCATGCCATATGGCGGCTGTTAAAGGCTGCAGTTCAGTGTTATTATATTTTGCTTGTTCTTCAAGCTAATTGATTCCAGCATGTTTCTGTTGAAGGTTAAAAACGTCTTATCTCTCATGAACATATCCAATCAAACCGAGTCTGCAATTTTCGAAAAAAATTGTAGTTTAACTGCTTCAAATGGATCACATCTTCTTCAGGTTCTTATATATACATGTACATTGTGAAGATAAATGTATGGATTTTTTGTATGCTTAACAGTATACGAGGAAATACTGAATTTAAACAAACTTACGAGAATATCCTTTCACTGTTTCTTCCTCTGCATCTGACGAATCGGATTCTATATTGCCTTCAATACAATAAAACTAGTTTATCATTTGTTATTTAGATGTTAAGCTAAGTGTTTACGCTGATAGCATTACACGGCTATATAACTTCAAGGGTGTTAACGTATTGTTAAGATAATAGCAAAAGCTGTGTTGAAAAGTGACAATAAATAATTGTTGTATAAAGTTTCAACATCAAACGTGATTAAATGCCGAACCATGGAATAGTATTGCATCGGTAAATGTAAAATACATCGAAACAATTTTGTTTAAGGATTCTGATTAAAGATTTGTTGTAATTTAGTACCTTTGTAAAACTCTCAATTATTCATTATTTCACTGTACATATATATAAATAAGTGCCTTACTCATCAGTAACTGAAAATGATTATACAGTGTAACCCTTGTAAAGGAATGCCAGCCTGACCAGACTCTACACAAACTTAAATTATTATTCTTGATGTCCCCAAAACTGACAAGTAGTCACAAAAATGGAAGCTAGTAAGACAAATAAATTTATTAAATCACCAGATCAATGGTTAAAATGCCACGCCATTATTGTCATAGCTATTATATTTTTTCAGGTGATGACAATTTGCTGTTTATGCACAATTCTAAGTAAACATTAATGTACTGTTCTATTAAATGTGAAAATAAATAATTATATACTTCTAGCAGTCAGATGCAATTCCGATTCATTAGGTAATATTTCAAAGCTTTCTATGTCAACACTGATCTTGCTGTCTGGTCGTCTAAACGACAATACTGTCTTATCATCAATTCGAAAATTACGTTTGCCTACAAAATAAAAACAGAAAACTAAACAGTCTCATCTAATCTTTAAATGTTTACAAATACATTAAAAAACCCTAGGGTATAATTTTTTAAGGAATATAATAATTTGGTATGTTGGTAATATCCTTTAGCAAAACTAACATATTATGAGTAAATAACATATGCTGTTAGTGAATTGTATTCTAAATATACCCATATGTAATAGTATACCTTCGAACACGTATTAACAAAATCAACAGCTTGTGGTAATATGACACCCTCGAAACTAAAATCCACACAATTTGTAGAACTCATTCGTCTGTGTTATTATATGATCATGGTTTAAATTTGACAAATATTCACAATTTGCAATTGGTTTTCGGGCCAATAATAAAGTGTATGTACATGGATACACCAAGAAAAGTACATAATTATGTAATTTACTAAATAAGAAATTCCGGTAATCTCTCTTTTTTTTTAACTTTTAACTTAAATTTTGTTAAATTCCAATTGAAAATTATACTAATTGTTCCCAGACGCACAGCGGTATCTCAGCAGCTCTATCAAACTGATGATGTCAGGTAAAAGATAGCTAAAATAAGTATTTTGAGTGGTTTTAATTGGTACAAAACTTCAATAAGTATTACTCTTATCAGCCACCTTAGCATGTTGTGTAACTGCTATTCAAAAATATACTAGTATATCGGAAATAAAATTGTATTATGTTTAAACAAACTACGAAATATTGACTTAACATCTAAATGATGTAATCAAAATTAAATTTACATCGTTCCATAAACATTTCGGATGACTTATGAGCAATCAGCACGGTCTTTTTTCCACATGACACAATAAACGATTTGACAGGCTCAGGTGCATTCATGATTTTATCTTGAGTTTAACTCAACAAGTCCTGAAAAGAAACAAACAATTTGACAAAACTTCTTATTTCAAATCGATAAACATCACTTGTATCATACATTAAATATTAGTAACTTCACCTCATTCGCTTCTCTTTTCGTCCAAAGGGAATGCAGTTTGTCTATAACTTTCGTCTGTGGAGGAGGATCATTAGTAGGAAGTTTATTGAAAAAGTTAACTCCCTTTATAGAAGTAGGAAACATAAACTTTTGACGATTTTACAAGAAAGAGGTTTCGTATTTCAATAATAATAAGCGCTGTGTATGCATAACGTCGTCTGCTTTTTATAGCTAGGTAGCATGTTGTTTAATGCTTTGTCGGTTTTGGAGAACATTCAAACATAAATTTCGTAGCAGGAAGCATTCGAACACGTTATGCGTAGAAGCAAACTTGCACATTTTTATACCAGAATATGGCGAACGACCACATTTTTCTCGGCACACTACAACCATCCACTACCGTTTTAAGCGATAATCGACTGTTGTGTTTCAGTAACTACGATTGTCGCAATCTTAAAAAAACACACACAAAAAACACCTGGCTCAAGACCAAAACACTTACTGGAGCTAAGAGATGCATAAACTCCATAAATTCGAACCCATTAAGTCGTCTCTTGCTTTCACGCAAGGATAAACAGTGGCTGCAATTCTGATGCATCAATCCTTAAAGTCAACCCCACAGTCACCAGAAGAATTTTTAACAGGTTTCAATGTTTTGAGACATACAGTTTACATAAATTATTCTTTCATGCAGAATTATACCGGTGTAAGTAATGGTATACACCCGTCTCATTATTAAAATTGTTGCGTATTAAAGATGTTGGCTGTTAAATTTTCTCATCGCAATATTTACATGGACTGTACTAGTCTGTCCTCCTGGGTCACGCAGTTATTTCTAGTCTAATTGACAAGCATTGCGGCGGTGTTTCATCTCTTCGGTCCGATATGTAAAGGCATTGCAAGTTGTGAAACAGCCTACTTATCATTTTTGTGTGTATTCAAAAATGTTGAAGGTACTAGTATCTTTATAATCTATGTTTTTTAACTTCTACATTGCCTAAAATATAACTGAGTGTAAATATAATCAAAATGCATCCAGCCACGTTAAATGCTCTAATGGAGAGGATATTGAATGTGTGTAAATTTCATACTAAATCTATTGAACGAGTTAGATTTAATCCTCTGACGAGCATAATAGTCCTGTTTTTTAAGAGATGTAACACATTTTGAATCTACACGAAATAAGATAAGAACAGATTTTAGGATTAAAAGAGTCAATTTTTTAATGGGCACGATTGAAATGTTACGCTTTCATAAGCGCTATTTGAAGCTATAATTGCATATAAGTTAACGCAACAGACCTTCCATCAAAACATTATCACACTAGTGTTACTTCCTTGTTTTAAATGCTTTTTAACACTACTGCATCATGGTTCATGTGATAAAGATGTTTTCTATCCCTAACCAATCAAATCTGATGGAGACCGTCCGCCCAGATGCTGTCTGTCCACTTTTGTGCTATATTATACATAATTGAGCTGCGTCATGACAAAGCCAACATAGTGCGTTTGCGACCAGCATGGATCCAGACCAGCCTGCGCATCCGCGCAGTCTGATCAAGATCCATGCTGTTCGCTATCAGTTCCTCTACTTGTAAAAGGGTTGGTAAGCGAACAGCATGGATCCAGATCAGACTGCGCGGATGCGCAGGCTGGTCTGGATCCATGCTGGTCGCAAACGCACTATAATTATGCAAATGAAACAATTTTTAAACATCAAAGAATATGTAAAATATGTACTGCAAATATGTGTGCATATTATATGTAATCATTAAAATATATGCATTCATTTCTTATTGTAGAATTTGACTTAAGGTATTACGACCCTAATGGGCACTATAATGCACTAAAAATTGACATCATAGGTCAGATATATACCTTAAAGTACACCTGTATGCATAATTTAAACAAATTTTACCGTACGGAAAAAAAGTTATGGCCACTTTTTTGAACTCAAGCTAGGATGTTATGAGGGCCCTTTTTTAGAAATGAGGAACCTTTAAATAATCTGCAATAACATTCTAATGAAAAATGTTTTCCCATTAATTTTTGGTAAGAAACAAATAGTACCATTTAGCTAACAATCCACATAAGCAAAATTATGGTTTCTACTTAAAATTTATGAAATCTGTATATAAATGTTACCGTACCCCACCCATTTTTACCACGTGTCTGACCATTTTCCTACTTAGGGAGCCTAATTTAAAAAAATCCTTAAAATTTACTCAAATGAGTGCCTGTTTTCAAAGTTTCCCTTAATTTTTAAAGAAGTATATTGGTGGATCTTGTAAAATATGAAATACTTTTACCGTCTAGTTTTGATTTTATTACACTTTGAAAATATCAGGTACCATATTTATTAATAGATTTAGCATAATTTAGCCAATAAATAACAGTAGTGCTAGCCTATTTGAATACTCTTCAAAGCGGAGATAATGCATTACGATGGTAATAACTATTCTGGTTCCCGGCATCTAACAAGTATTGCGTAGCGAAAGGGAAAGGAACTAAAGACTAGGTAATACCTTAAACTTTATAGAAAATAATTTTTATTACCTCCCTTTATTTACATTAAATGTTAAATTCGGTAATATCTTTATAAATAATGCTTTTTTGGAACCTACAATATAGACAAATCTTAATATAAATAATTGAATATAACTGATTGAATTATTATGATATGATTCTTGATGCATGCACTGTAATAATTATACATGTATATGTATGTTATGATGATGGGTGTTGAGCCCATGTCAGAAATAAAGTAAATGTTCTGTTCTGCTCTGTTCTGATAAATCTTAATTTGAGCTTCATATTTATAATTTATAACCATAAAAATTTGTGTTACAGAATCTTTAATTATATGACAGTGTGTAAGTAATAAAAGCATTTTCAATAAGAGTTAAAGCATATATCAATATTGATGGGCAAATTTCGAAACATTTACATGTAATAAACCATTATTTAAATGTTATATTGTTATTAATTTTTTTGTTCAAAGAGGAAATGATTCACATGCGGTGTGACAGCCCCTTATAACTTTAAAATAACATTCAAAAATTCTTTCCAAAGTCAAGCATTTGCCCTGCAATATTGATAGTGAAATGTATGATGGATCTTAATGCCATCCTTTTTCACAGGTAAGTTGTTATGTTCTTTCGGTACTTTAAGAACATACTGTTTCTTCTTATATTAACAGTTACTTCCTTTTTATACAAAACGACCCACTAATTGCTGTGCACAAATTATCATTCAAAATGAATGTGTAACTGTTCATTTCGAGATTTAAGAATCGTAAAACGTAGTGATTTCATGAACTTCTTTGTAAGTTCTTTAAATGATATATTCATTCCAGTCTCATAATCAGCTTTGCAGAAATAAGTTGGAGTAGATAGCAATGATTCATTGCACAGTGTCAACCAGAAAGTTTTTTCATATAAATGTATGCTATTTGGTCATTTATCTTAATTTTGTTACTATGATATTTATAGTTCTATTATTCAAATGTATCAAAAGTATGCACGCATTTATGTTCATTAACCAAATAATTGTATACATTTAAATCTGAAAATAACGTAATCTTAATAATAACAGTGACTACGATTTATTTTACAAATAAATGTAAATTGTGAGATAGACATAAAGGTCCTTCACAAAAAATCATTAAGTCTTATTCAACGTAAAACAAATGAAGCATTATTAAATTTTAATAATGTGAATTGTTTATGTATTTAAATACACATTGCTGTGTGGAAAATCTAAGCGTAGCACATCAGTATTGATAAAGATAGGTGTAAAGTTTCTTTAAAAATGCATAATTCACATTTACAACTTAACGGTTCATAAATACACATTTAGGTTAAAGTAATATTTTATCAGCATTATTAAAATCTAAGACAATAACAAAAACCTGGTGAGTATAAATCTAGATGGCAGGACTATCGGACAATGCAATTTCAATACCCACTTCCGCATTGTTGACGGCGATAATCAAAATGTACAAGGCCATTAAACATGTTTGTTTGATTTGTTTGATTGGGTTTTACGTCACAGCGACACAGTATATGTCATTTGGGGACGTTCCAGCTTTACTGATGGAGCTCAGTTGCATTTCAGGCACGAACGGGCACCTGAGTAGAACCATCGACGTTCCGTAAGACAGCTGGATAGCTTCCTCACATGAAAGAATCCCTGTCGGGATTCGAACCCACAGCGGTGTGGGCAAGGGGTTTGTAGTCAACGGTCTTAAGCACTCGGCCACGGACGCCCCATTTTAAACATATATGCGTGCCATACATGTTGGGCCAATAACATATCAGCTACATTAAGCATGGTCTCGTTCTGTTTTGAAGCAATATATGTTCAGTCATTTTTGTTTTAAGCGATGCACACGTAAAAATTACTGAAAGACCTTTGCTTGTTTTCTTCGTCGGGATTCGAACCAACAGCGGTGTGGGCAAGGGGTTTGTAGTAAAAGGTCTTAAGCACTCGGCCACGGACGCCCCATTTTAAACATATATGCGTGTCATACATGTTGGGCCAATAACATATCAGCTACATTAAGCATGATCTCGTTCTGTTTTTAAGCAATATATGTTCAGTCATTTTTGTTTTAAGCGATGCACACGTAAAATTACAGATTGAAAGACCTTTGCTTGTTTTCTTCGTTTGCACAACTGTCAATGTTTTTGTAGATGGCTGCTGAAGAGATGACACATACAACCATCCGATATCTATGCCACGTCAGGCTGAAAAAAATATTATTCTATAAATATTTCACAAACTGAATAAACATCATGGCATTTAAGTACAGTCAATGAGATGGACGAGATAAGACACTATATCGGTAAACACTTTCAAATCAAATCTAATGAATATAAGACAAATATGAGTAAATGAACATATAAAGCATTTGTCAACAGTATTTTTAAAAATATTCGTATATGTACTTGGTACGGCCGTAACATGTTAATAAATCAAGCACAAAACCATCCATCATTTATGCTTAGTGACTCTGAAAAGAAAAAACAATCAAATATAACAGTAAAGGTGGATGAAGCAATGCTGGCAAGAAAACGTTAACCTCTTTTTTAAGTTACTTCGTTCTCTTGAAAGTAAAGATTTTATTATTTTTTTGTTTTGTAAAACACATGAATGGCACCTTTTACTTTCATTTCATTTAACATATAAATATTTTCAAATGGTTCAACATATTTAATAGAAGTGTAAATACGCATTTTATGACTTTTTTACAATGAACAAATTCCTTACGCTGTACAGAACTACAAAACATTTAAAAACGTGTTATATTCCGATAGAAAGATGACGAATCGATGCATACGGTGCACTAGTCTTATGATTACAGATACACAAAACTACATCATACCCGGTCTGTATCGGCTCACACGGGTGAAGGTCACTGTATTATTTCCCATTAGTGCAATTGCATCATTTTGGTGTTTTACGTCATATTATAGAAAGAGACACCGGACACAATATAATGAATGGACCGACCAGATATTCTACTTTTGCCTAACCTACGCTAAAAAAACTAAACATGGAAACAAATAGTATATCAATGTAGGGATTTAAAGTTTTTTTATTCATAGTATCGTTCAGAAATCAACTTAGAGTATAGAAGTACAAGTAAAATGTACATTATCTATAAACTAATATTATGTTTTTAGCACCTGAAAGTACAAATTTAATACCTGTTGAGATGTTTTGGATTTTTTTTTAATTTGTTAACAATGACATAGTTAATTGATCATAAAGGTCCTTCACAAAAAATCATTTAGTCTTATTCAACGTAAAACAAATGAAGCATTTTTAAATTTTAATAAAGTGAATTGCTTATGTATTTAAATACACATTGCTGTTAATGAAAAAACTAAGCGTAGCACATCAGTATTGATAAAGCTAGGTGTAAAGTATCTTTAAAAATGCATAATTCACATTTACTTAACGGTTCATAAATACACATTTAGGTTTAAGAAATATTTTATCAGCATTATTAAAATCTAATACAATAACAAAAACCTGGTGAGTATAAATCTAGATGGCAGGACTATCGGACAATGCAATTTCAATACCCACTTCCGCATTGTCGACGGCGATAATCAACATGTACAAGGCCATTACACATGTTTGTTTGATTTGTTTGTTTGGGTTTAACGTCACAGTATAGGTCATTTGGGGACGTTCCAGCTTTACTGGTGGAGGAAGACCTCAGTTGCATTTCAGGCACGAACGGGCACCTGAGTAGAACCACCGACGTTCCGTAAGACAGCTGGATAGCTTCTTCACATGAAAGAATCCAAAGTCCCTGTCGGGATTCGAACCCACAGCGGTGAGGGGCAAGTTGTTTGTAGTCAACGACCTTAAGCACTCGGCCACGGACGCCCCATTTTAAACATGTATGCGTGCCATACATGTTGGGCCAATAACATATCAGCTACATTAAGCATGGTCTAGTTCTGTTTTTAAGCAATATATGTTCAGTCATTTTTGTTTTAAGCGATGCACACGTAAAAATTACTGAAAGACCTTTGCTTGTTTTCTTCGTTTGCACAACTGTCAATGTTTTTGTAGATGGCTGCTGAAGAGATGACACATACAACCATCCGATATCTATGCCACGTCAGACTGAAAAAATATTATTCTATAAACATTTCACAAACTGAATAAACTTCATGGCTTTTAAGAACAGTCAATGAGATGGACGAGATAAGACATTTTATTATATACCTATAAATTTTCTCCCTAAAATACACGCAAATATTGAAGCGTAAATACGCTTCAACGGATAGAAATTTCCGTATAATGTTAGTGACAAATACGGTACCATATATGGAAGTGCCGGACCATTTTTGACGTTGGTTCCGATCTTAGCTTTGTATAACATTGCATTTGGAAACGGGAACCAAAATTATTAAAGGCGTGGCCAGATTGCAAGAATTACGTATTCATCCGTTAGTCATGAATTTATTTTTTGACAACTACATTTCATTTTCTGAATAAAACGAAAAGGTATATAATAAAAGGAAAATTATGTTGAAGTAGCTTTCTGAGACTATGTTTTTTTCTACTCGCAACGTTGGAAAATTGATATCTCGCTCGACCTTCGGTCTCGCGAGATATCAATTTTCCACCGCTGCTCGTAGCAAAATACAGAGCCACAGAAAGCTGCTACAACATAATATTCCGTATATATCGGTAAACACTATCAAATCAATTCTTATGAATAATGGTTGAACATATTCAATAGAAGTGTTAATACGCATTTTATGACTTTTTCACAATGAACAAATTCCTTACCCTGTACAGAACTACAAAACATTTAAAAACATGCTATATTCCGATAGAAAGATGACGAATCGATGCATACGGTGCACTTATGATTACAGATACACAAAACTACATCATACCCGGTCTGTATCGGCACACAAGGGTGAAGGTCACTGTATTATTATACCCCCAAAAACGAAGTTTGGGGGGGGGGGGTATATAGGAGTCACCCGGTGGTCGGTCCGTCGGTCGGTTGGTCGGTCGGTCGGTCCAGCGGTCCTTTGCATTTTCCTTGTCCGGAGCATAACTTGAAAACTAATGGTTGGAAGTTAATATAACTTCATACAATGGCCAAGCTAAAAAACTAAACATGGAAACAAATAGTATATCAATGTAGGGATTTAAAGTTTTTAAATTCATAATATCGTGCAGAAATCAACTTAGAGTATAGAAGTACAAGTAAAATGTACATTATCTATAAACTAATATTATGTTTTTAGAACCTGAAAGTACAAATTTAATACCTGTTGAGATTTTTTGGATTTTGTTTTAATTTGTTAACAATGACATAGTTAATTGATCATGATTTTTAGACATATTTTTCAAACACAATCTAACAAAAATGATTTTCCGTTAAATAAAAACATCCGTTTTTCATTATTATGTAATGTATTATGTACTGTTTATATGTTTATGATAACTTGGCCATATTCTTCACTTCGTAAATGTTAAATTGGCCAACGGCATGATGTTTTGCATATTAAACTGAACATAATGTAAAGCTAGATTAAATAAAGATAACCTCCTATGTTTTTTGTCATGCGGTGTAAGCATATTGAATTTTAACTCCGATATTATTTTCATTTGTCTTGTTCATTCACCGCTTAACTAGGTATTGCGCAGTTTAAGCATAAATTAAAGTAAATTGTGAACCGAGTTACGTTCTTTGCCATTACTTTATTATAATGAATGAATTAAATGCATCGTGTTCAAAAGTCAACCACACCAAAATAAATGCATCAAAAATTAATTCAGTAATTGAGTGGCAATGTATCTTTTTATATCATAAGAATGGTAGTTTACTCTGTTTATATATTAAGGCCTCAACAGACGGTAGGATTTAGATGTACAGCAATAATTAGAGATAAGATTTACAATTTTCAAAGCAATACAACACTTGCATTCAGACGGTAATTCTACACTGTAGGAATCATCTGAGTTTTCCCCTAAAAAGAATCCCTTTACATTGATCCTTTACATACTTTACTCACTAAATACTTTTTTCGTAATGATTGAAACACCTCCATTAAATATATATATATATATTTTTTAATGTGAAGCCTGACCGAGACTCAAACCTGGGACCCTCGGAATACCGTACTGCGGCTCTACTGACTAAGCTATCTGGACGCCTACAAACTACCTCCCTCCCCTAATTAGAGAACAATTCAATACCAACATGTAAAAATCTTATTGTATGTTTTGAAGTACGTTATAATGTTATATTTTTGTGATATTGTAAACAGTTATATTGTTTAGATATTGAACAACAATATACAAATGCAATATTATTTGTCTTGAAATAAATAAATGGAATTTTATATACATGTAACTGGCTACAGATACTTTTATTGTCAATTCTGACATAAAAATATATTGTCTTATGCCAATCCTTGTGCAAAATTCACACACGTTTTTTATAAATGTGTCTTTATTTTGCCATAAGCAACAATAGTTCGTATGTTTATGCAAATATATATGAAATATTTTAGAGTATATCTTTTATCATTAGTTTTATTCACCATTATTTTTATTGCCATTATATATTTATTTTATTGTTTTATTTATTAATTGTTTTGGGGTGGGGTTAGGTGTGGGGTAGAGGTTGACAAAGTTTGATGCACACACACTGGATGAGCAAAAAAAGTAATCTGCCGCCACAGGAGCATTGAGTGTTCTTTCTCACTACTATTTGACACACGACAATGCGAATAATTTTTATAGAAATGTCACTCCGCCTCGTCTTATGTCGCTTTGCATTGTTAGGCAATACTTCTTACTGTCAGACGTCCCTTCGCATCTTTTGGTTTTTGTGTCACATTGTATTTAAGAAAATTATTAACGATATCATAAAAATGCAACGTTTTGAACAAGTATTGTCGATTGTCGCATTGCATTGTCGAGTTTCGAGGTGAACATAAATACATATCAGGAAAGTAAACATATTTGATACGATGTTCAGCAACATGGAGCGTAACTAAACTACTCGAACTGACATTTAAATCATGTCGCAAATTATTTACGCGACACAAGACAGTGCGGTTTGGCATTGTTGAGCATTGTTTCTTAATGTCGAACCTCGCTTCGCATTGTCAAACTTTGTACCAACTTGTCGCGATATCAATTCTAGCAATCGGAACATCCTCAGCGTTTATCAATAATAATATCTGAGTTCATACGGAGTGAAAGTAGTTCTGCAAAATGGTTTAGGATGTAACAGATAAAGAGCGCTCTATAAAGTTAAATAAATGTATTTATTTGACATCCAAAGCAAAATTCAGTCGGTTTTGGTACAATTATGATGAAATTATGTCTGACAACCATTTTTAATTTAAATATGTCCAGTGATGTACAATTTAACACCAATCCGACTCAATGTTTTGTCCTTTCGGTTTCTACAACCGTAGTAATAAATATATTAATAATTTATTGTTTGCTTTTGTATTTATGAACTCACGTATTCTAGGAAAACTTTTACGTAATATATTGACAATAAACTTGTCAACAACTCCCAGCATTAAGTAACGATTTATTGACATATAAATTGCTTTCTTAGCGGAGGTTAGACCGAAATACCGTATCCGTTTTGTGTATTCATGCTGTTAGGGTCTTTTTCCGAAAACTGACGAAAAGTGTGTACATATAGCGCCGGACGACATTGTATAGGCACGATAATAGTATCGATGAAGGTCTATGCTTACAAAAAGTTACATAATCAGGTTGAAAACTGAAGAACAATAAAATGATGTATTTGTTGTTTAAATTATATGATCATTAAAGAGAAAATGTTATGACAAAACTGTAGTCATTGGCAACATGACAGCAATTAAATTTTCTGAAGGCCTTTTTGAAATGGAGTTCTATTTTTCTCTCTATCAAAATTGGGATCAATGCTATGATTTAAACAAAGGTCTTAACATGAATCAATGTTAAAGTTTTCATACTGACACAACTATTTGTTTTACAAAGATATTATGCTTTAACATAATTGTAGAAGACACATATTACGACATATCATTTTTTCGAATATACAGAAATCGTGTGAAGATTAAATAAACTTGAACAATTGGAAATTTATCGTTAACAATCGATTTAAAAATCCATTTACCTGTACATGAATACGTTTTAAGAACAAATCAAGATCAGAATACGTTTTAAGAACAAATCAAGATCATTCAAGCGAACAAAAGCGACAATAGGTCTTCCGCCGGCATGTCTAGAAATAACAATCATTTTAGCTCTACTCAAATTTGTCTGAAGTTATTCACAATGTTATTCCTGATTTTTTAAAATAGCTTGCAGTTTAAGCATCTGTTAACCACCATCAACAGCTTTAACAATGAACATGACACTTAACATGAAAAAATATCATATATTAAATGAAATGATTGACGTACCTGCGATATATTTGAAGAAAATTATCACCTTTTTGCATGTCTTAATCCTACTTCAAAACAAATATCCGCTATAGTCTACCTATTAAGCTGTTTCGTTAGCTTTGAAATGAGTGTTTAAAAAGATTAATCGATTGATATTTTGCACTTTGAAGTAATCGGTTCGGCGGGAAGTTATCGAATTGTGACTTGTCGATTGTTATGGAACAAAAACCGATGACATGCAAAATCGAAGGTTACAATAACTTAAAATAGTTTAAATGTCTTTTCATGCCACCCCATTTACTAAATATATTTGCATGTCACCCGATTTACTTATCATAGTCACATGTTATTTTTGCATACATGTATAATCAGAATTGAAATAAATTATTACATGTTAGATATATAACTTGTGTTATTCTTAAGCAAAAATAACTTGAATGAATTTATAACATTTTGCAAATCATAGATTTATTTTACGAAAAGTGTATTATTTTCATGTAATTTACATTTGAGTGTATAACACACCAACAAAACATTAACAATGAAATTATTTTCCTTATTATTGAATCTTAACTAACACTGACATTGTAATGGTTGTAAGGCGACTTTTCTATATTTTATTTGTGAGGAAAATCTGAGGTGCCTCTCCGTGCACTATTTCAGGCACGAGCAGATAACGGAAAAACCACACAAGGGAGGGGCAGAAAGGGGGCAAAAATCCGCCCTTCAAAATCAAGGCACAGTCGGGTTTAGTGAGGTCCGTTTGTTAGATGTCCGCTTTTACATAATTTATAACGTGGGAACAAAATGTTCTGTATTGTTTATAGCGAATATGTAAATATATAAATTTGTTCCTGGAGTGATTTAACATATGCATGAAGTATAAAATTTAAGTATTTAGTATAAAGTGACCTTTGTAAACGTCCTTTGCATGTATATGGACTCAAAGCTTCGCGGATTTAATTCTCATTTGTGTAGCTATCTATGCGGATATACTCAACGTGCAAAACTAGCTCTTGAAGTTTAAATAAATAAAGTTGACTGATAAGATACTGATTAAAAGATATCCTTATAAAGCGTACGGACGACTACTATAACATGTTACGCAGGTTTGGTATTGGAGAATTTGTACTACATATCTTCCCGGTTTGCATTAAATGTGCATGTTTAAACTTATCAAATAAACGTAAATTAATGTGTTGTCATTAGAAATCTTAGAAATCAAGTTGTTGTTGATTTTGATTGTATATAATTTAAGATGGATAAGTTGTGATAAATCTCCATTTCGCGGTTCACTTGTAAAAGTGTTATTTAATTGTTGCCTTAAACTATGATAACAATATCAATAAGGAAAGGCGGCATTGAACCTTAAACCATTTTTGATTGCCATTCTTATAAATAGCCTGAATTACATGTAGACATATAGGCAAAACAAAAACGGTTAAATAATTTATTTTTTAACGTGGCAAGTTGTTAGAATATAACAGAAACATTTAAGAAGTTTTAGTTATCTGTCTCATAATCAGAATTTTCTACTTATTTGAGGTCATTTCAAGGGCAGATAACTTATACATACGTAAATTAATTCTTGTTTTTACTTCCGGATTATGGTTTTCTTTTTATTGTTAACCACAATACAAAATAACATGGAAATCATTACATTATTTCTGTTTATGTTTGTTTTTTTCTTCAGTGAAAATAAGGGTACTTTAAATAGGCTTTTAAAAATGCACATATTTAGAGAAGTGGAAAAAGAATTATCCACTTTTAATTACGCATACGGAAGGGAAGCGTAAGTATGTTTCACACGGATTAATGAAATACCCCCTTGGGAAAAATCTCATAACAAAACGCAAAATGAATTACATGATAAAGATGTCAATGCCAGGCTATATTACTAACCTTGAAAATTTGTTTAAAAGTTAAAACGTTGTTGTTTGCTGTACATAATTTTCCTTGTTTCAGATATTTATTTCTTCTGCTTTAAAACAGTGTGATTTATATGATTAAGACAGTTTTGATGATACTATTAGTTTTCCCATTATCCCATTTTAAAAGGAAAAAGAATATATGAACGATAAATGACACGCGATATGGTTCGTTTGAAAATATATGTATAAGGCTGTTAATAATTTTCATTTTTTTTTAAATAAGAGGTAAGATCGGTTTAAAAACACCGTAATACTATGCGTCAAGCGGTCGTGTCTTGTTTTCCCCCTATCAATTTACAACATATCACACACACATATTTAGTGTGAATAGAAATGTTTATTTCCAAACCCACGTCTGATTTAACAGCCACCGGTAAATCTTTGCACCACCAGGATTATGGCAAATTTCCCTACCATTAAACAGTAATTGCTCATTTTAACATCAATAACTGACGTTACGTCAGATATTGACATATTACATTTGGATAATCAGTTCCGGAGCATAAATAAAACCCCAAAACTCAGCATAAATATTTGTTGACTATTTCCTGAAAAATATCCGTCATATTAAAAGGTAAAGATGTATTGCAAGCTCCCCCCTTTCCTAAACATAATTAATTTTTATTTAGTTTTATTAATACATTAATTTGTTATTAACTGGGGTCTTCTGACACACTGAATGTCATTTTACTGACAGTTTTTTCCCAAAATGATTGTTAACTGTTAACCAGGCTACCAATATTGAAAATACTGGTTATGAGATTAGCGAATGGCGGGTCAGCATTACTAGTGTACGTTCGGGTGGACTTCAGACAGGTGTTTTGAGTTAGAGATAACACTTATATATATACTTATTGTAAAGCAAGCTTTATAAACGACGGGAATTGGGCCCCTTATGATTTATGTCAGTGTCCCTGGTTCTTAAAATTGAAAATATTGGTTTCGCTCGATGACTAGATTTAAGAAAGAATTAGTTTTTGTTTTCAACATGGTTTAAAACAGTCATATTTTGCATATTTTGCACCTATCAGAAAGTTTGTTAACCTACTTTGGTTGATTATTATGTACTAAAATTGTTTTGAGTGTTACGTCTATTAATTTAGAGTATATAAACTCGTATATGTTTGTTACTTTCTAAAACTCATAAACGTTCGCGGAATATCAAACCGCGATAACTCAATCTTTATTGTTTGTTTGTTTGTTTTGGATTTTACGTCACATCGACACAGTATAGGTCATATTGCGACGTTCCAGCTTTACTGGTGGAGGAAGACCTCATGTGCCCTTCCGTGCATTATTTCAGGCACGAACGGGCACCTGAGTAGAACCACCGACGTTCCGTAAGCTAGTTGGATAGCTTCCTCACATGAAAGAATCCAAAGTCCTTGTCGGGATTCGAACCGATAGCGGTGAGGGGCAGGTGGTTTGAAGGTCAACTGAATCTTTACCATCTACATATGTGTACAAGTATTTTAAAAGAGATAAATACACGGAGTAGGACCGGAAGGTGATAATCGGCTCGCAAAATGAATAATGGTCCCGAGGGCTTCAGGGCCAATTAATTATCACTTTCTGGCCCATCTACGACCTGTATTTATTTAATAAACTTGACAGATCTAATAGTAGCATGTTTAAAAATATTTTGATATTTCTTGCGTTAAAATTCCTGTCTGTACTGTACAGTATAGTAAATTCTATAGAGTTGATTCCCTTATGTGTATTCATAGCACACTAGAATCAAGAAGCAATTTATTATATAATTTTCATGGAATCAATTTGTTGTATTTGGTTCCATTAAATTGCAATAAAACTGTTTTTAA